TGATTACATCTATTCTTCTAACAAGTATTGAAGAAAATATTTCAAAGAAAAAGTCTTCTGAGTATTTCAAATCTTGATGAAATGAGAATATCACTTCTAAAAGAAAGCAATTAGTCACTGCTAAGAGAGATTGAAAGAATAACTTAATATCTGATAAAGAGTTCAAAGCTATTCAAAATGAATATTTTTCAGATATTAAAAAAGTCAAAACAGATTGCTGGAACAAATTTCTTGAAGAAGTATAAGAAAAAGAAGTTTTTAAAGCCTTTAACTATACTAAAATAAGAAGTGTAGCAAAGCTTTCAATCTTAGAATATGAATTTCAGAATGAATTGTATACAGCAAACTCTTTTGAGAAAAAATGTTAAGCTTTTATAAGAATTCTCTTTCAAAACTCATCACATTTAGAAGAGAAGAATATGTCATTTCATAAATATATTGATGAAAATAACTGAGAATGATCTGAGCTTACATGTGATGAACTAGAGTCAGTAATATTCTTAAGTTCAATTAAAACTGCTGCAGGGCCTGATTCAATTAATCACTTGATTATTCAGAACATATATTTCTACATGAAGAATGAATATTTTGAACTCTTTTTGAATCTCTTAAAAAATGATTATCACTTTGAATGCTGAAGAGAAGCTACTGGAGTAATTCTTACAAAATCTAATAGAAAAGCTTCAATTTCTAAGTTATATAGAGTAATATCTCTGTTGAACTGTTTGAGAAAAATTCTAGAAAAGATAATAGCTACTAGATTATCTTTTATAAGCTCTATTAGTGATTCTCTTCTATTTAATGAATAAATGAGAGATAGAAAACAATGTTCTGCAATTACTACTATTCTCTCAGTTATTCATGATATTTAAGTAGCAAAGTATGAAGATCTGGTCTCAACTGCAGTTTTTATTAATATAAAAGATGCATTTAATTATGTTTCAAAGTCTAAGATGATTCAAACTTTGAAGATATTAAAACTGTCACTTTCTTTAATAAAATGAGTTAATTGTTTCATATTTAAAAGAATTATACAACTATTCTTTGATGGAAGAAAACAAGATAAAACTGAGATAAAAATAGAAGTATCACAAGAATCTTCAATCTTATTTATTTTATTTGCAATATACACTGCATATCTATTCAAGAATAGAGAGATGAAAATAGTGAGATCTTTAAGTTATATAGATGATATTGATCTACTCTACAGTTCAAAGACAATCAAGGAGAATTTAGAAGTGATTGAGAAAGCAGTAAAGAAAATCTTTGTTAAAGCAGATATCAATCTAATTTAATTTAATATGAATAAAACTGAGTTAATTCACTTTTTTCTCAGATTTAATGAGAAAGAACTAAGTCTAACTCTTTTGAATAAAGAGATTAAACCCAGTTTGAATGTCAAATGACTAGAAGTATGATTAAACTTCAAGTTGAATTTTAAATATCATATTCAACAAAGAATCATCAAGGCAGAGAGACTACTGAATAGTATAATCAGACTATTAAATACTGAGAGAGGTCTATTCTTTCAGGCTATGAGACAGTTATACATAGTCTGTATTATCTCAGTAGCTGATTATAAAGTTCAAGTTTGATGAAATAATCAAGATAACTTCACTGAACTCTTTCAAAGTCTATAAAACAGAGCTTTAAGAAGAATTCTGAGAGCATTCAAATTATCTTCTATTAAAGTAATGAAAATTGAAGCTTCAATTTCATCTTCTGCTATTCAATTTGAAAAGACCTGTATAAACTATACTCTGAGAGTCATGAAGATGAGCTTAAATTATATAATTAGAGAAAGAGTCTCTTCTTTATTTTTATCAGTTAACTCAGGAAATGAACTGAATTGAAATAGATTTCTGGATTGAAATGAGAATAATGCTTTAAAGAAAATGCTCTCTTAACTGTATAGACTATATTCACTCATTAAGAATCAATTTTCTTCATTAAATATTGAGAAAATTGATCATGAGAAGATATCTCTCTGAAGAGAAAAGCTTGAATCTCTCATAGTCTTATAAATAAGTAAACTATCTAAAGAGAGAGAATATGAACAGCATTTGAAAAAGATCTCTATAATCAATATAAAAGACTCTATTCTGATTTACTCAGATAACTCAAAGAATGAGAATTTGAATAGATTAGACATAGGCATTACTTATACTGAAGATAATATCAATTTTATCTCAGATTTCTGAAATTTAGGCTGTGAATCTGAAGTCTTTGATACTGAACTATTTACAATAGTGAAAGCTTTCAAACTCATTGAAATAAAATCTTATAAAAGAGGAAATAGTTTGAAAGAGACATGAATATTTTCTGATAGTCAAGCTGCTTTAAAAAGACTTAGAAATAGTCAGATTTATAATAATTAAATGAATCTTGAACTGATTTTAAACTCTGTTTTGAAAATTCAAAAGAGAAGAATATTAAAACTGATAATTCATCTGCATTGAGTTCCTGCTTATATGAATATTCATGACAATGAATTGACTGATTCAGCTGTAAAAAAGGGTTCAGAATTAAGCAGATCTATTCAAAAAACAGTATTCTAGTCTTTTATAAAGAGAAAGATAAAAGAATCTTGTTTAAACAAGTGAAATGAAAGCTGGCAGAAACAAAAGAAGAGCATACATTATTCAAGATTTGAGATAAAATCAAAGTAGAAATCTTGTTCAATTAAATGTAAAAAGAAAATATTCTCATCTATAATTCAGCTGAAACTAGGATATGATTATTTCAAATTCTATATACAAAGATTTGATGATAGATTTGATTCAATAGAGTGCTCATTCTGCAATGCGAATGAAAATCCTGAGTATATTGTAATACATTGTGTATTATACAATAGTCTCAGAGTCAGATTAAAGAAGAAGTATGATTTAAATCAATTAAATATGAGGTTCTTATTCTCAACTGAGACAGGAATTAAATACTTAATAGACTTTCTATCAGAAACTCAAGCAGTTATAAGAAAATGACTGAATTCAGAAGTATCTGAATATGAAGAGGTGAAAATTGATTAGATATAGTCTGTTAAAACAGCTATATACTATCTTTTAATAATTTTATTTTGTTATAGTCTCTCTTTACTGTACTTGTTTCTTTCTGTTCTTTTCTATCTATCTATTTAATATGTCTATCTTTAAGACTATGTTCTCTTTTCCTTTGTCATGATATTTTCAAATGATTTCAAAGTATCAGAAGGTGTTAAAATACTGCAATTTGTAAACAGTTTTTATATTCTGAGCTGGAATTTTCTGATTTTGCATATCTGAAATTGATAAATGTATAATAGTTGACTCTATAGATATAGGAAAAACTCTGAGAACTAAAGATTCTCAGGTAGATGTCATAGTCTCTGACTGCATACATCTATAATTGAAGAAGAATAATAATAATAATTGAGTATAGTCTGCTACATTAGCTACTCTCTTTCTGAAAGTGAGATTTGAGTGATAGAGCTGTAGATGCATAGTTTCTATCAGTCAAGAGATGCTCTTTCAGATAGTACGGAGCTTGAGATTCAGATCAGACAATTATAACTAACTTATTTTACAAGATATTATTAGCTGCAGCTGCAGAGTCTTTTATTAAGAATATTTTCAATCTCTTATTCAAGTTTATTACTCTCTTCTATAATCTCTAATAGTTGTTAGTCAGAAGTCAGTTGAGAAGAGAATAAGTTAGTGACAGCACAGCAGAGTAAGCTTGTATAAAAGATATTATAAATCTCTAATAAAGTATTAAGATAATAGTTATAACTATCTAAAACTTCTATTACTCTGTATTTAATATAATAATAGTTCAGTGTATAAGATGAGTATATAATCTGTATATTTTTAAGATTCAATTATACAAGATCTTCTATCTTATATTACTCAGCAGAGTCTTATCAGATATTAACTTAATTCTCTTAATTCTATTTAGTACTTATTATAAAGACTTCTGCTCAGTTATAAGTATCTTAGAGCTTTATTACTATATTATCTGTAATCAGAATTGAACTGTAAGAGTTTAATATGAATTGTATAATCTCTAGAAGATTTAACATCTTCATACAATAATTATATATAAGAAAGAATGAGCTTATATCTGTTGAAACAGCATCTCAGTCATTGAGAATAACTTCAGTATATAGAAGAAGATTATATCAGTTATCTTATAAATAGTTACAGAACTTATAAAGATAATTCTTTATAGTCTGAATTATTTACTCTAATATATTATCAGTCTCAGAGTGATAAGCAGTTGATAAGTAATATATAATCTTAAGAACTTAATAGATTCTTGTTCAGAGATTGCTTATAAATTAGTAATCTTAATTAGATACTATAGATATTAGCAAATTATATATCTAATAGAATAAGCTTTGTAAGAAGACTTCAGTAACTTATTCAGTATTTATCTTATCACAAGATTTTAATATTATATCTTTACTTAATTAGTCAATGATAATCAGAACATTTTTACAACCCTTACTCTTAGAGAGATTAATAGTAAAGTTAATAACTATATCTTATCAGATTCTATTAGAGATATTGAGTAATTTTAGTAGATCTTTTCTATGATTCTTTCATAAAATGATAGAGAAATAACAGTTACAGTTTCAGATAAAGTGTCTGATACTGTTTAATATTTCAGATCAGTAGAACTTCTAACTCTTATTTAATCTCTTATTACCTGACATCTTCACAGTATTCAGATTTCTTTTATTAATACATACTCAGAGATATTAATAGAGAACATTAAATTCTTATAAAAGAGATAGTATTTTAAATTCTGAATTTTTTTAATAGATAGTGATAGCTTGCTGAATACACTCTTCAATATTTTCATCTTTATTTAACATTGTGATGATTATTAATTAATTAATGAAGATGAAAATTTTTAATTTTATCATTTTGATATGACACACTCACTAGAGGTGAGTGAGTAAGAAGCGGCATGATTACAATACAACTGTTTAAATAATGAGAGATATATTTCATAGATATATTATTATGAATACTGAATGAGAATTATTGAATAATCTGCTCTATCAAGATCCGCTGATGTAAGGAAGGTTAAGTGGGGCAGGGCACTTAGTGAGGTCCTGATCCAGTGGGTGACCTTACCCAGATCCGCGAGCTACAAAGGCGTAAAAAGGATGGATAGGAATAAGTGAACTATGCTCGCCGCGAATTAGAACACTGACTGGTATGAAGTAATATTGGCCGCTGCCGCGGATAATAATAATGTGGATATTCCATTTCAAGAATAATGGTGAACGAATCCACCGAAAAAGACTTATAAAACCACTACAGAAGACCTCCCATCCAACCCGAATCCCATTTGCTCCTTGCAAAAAAGAAAAGGAAAAGAAAAAGAAAACGAAGACCGATGCAATACTGCATATATCCCACACATGGCTCTAGCAAGATCAAATATAAACCATGCTCCGAGCTCAAACACATATGGAAAAACAAAGGAGACAACAAAATTGACATATAAAGCACCCTCACGAATGAGGATGACCATTAGAGGTTATAAATCCGTTGGTGAGCGGGGATTTTGGCCCAGAATCTATATTAGGAGTAATAGATCTTATCCCATTTGGGAGCTGACGTTCTGCCTGGATCGTTTCGGGGCCAGGTTCGGGGTCGACATGCATTCGAAGCGTCCGAATCTCGAGTCCGTGGAGGTGGGGGACATGAGGAACCAAATCCATGAAATCGGAATACTACAGATATTATGAGCATGGAGCAACTAGGGGGAAGCGTACATTGAAATATTTACCTTTACCCAAAATACGTGTTCCATCGCAAAGTATTTGGGTCGGGTTTCGGCATCTTTCCGCATAACATCGACGTAGCTTGTTGTCAAGGGGTTAAACTCGCCTTCCTCGACAAGAATACGACGCGTTACCCTCCAAAGGTTATTTCGCTGGGTAAGAGTGACAAACCGCCTTTCCCAACTAGGATCTGTAATAGGGTTAGAGTCCTCTCAAAGAGCATCACGGGCAAAAGAACGGTATAGTGGGGAATAGACGTACACTGCGAAAGTTGAAGATCGTTCGTAGCAAGAAGTGGTGCAACCAGATAGTTGGGAATCCATCTGTCATCCTTGACCTCGAGATCACAGGAAGGGTCGATTTGCTTGGTTGTTGCTGTTACGAGTGGCATGAATTTTTTAAGCCAGACATGGCTTTTAGAAATAGGGTCATTTGAGCCGACGAAGTTTGCTGCAGCACGAAGTCGGTTAGGTAGTGCGTCGCGACGCCGCTGTTCCTGCTCTTCCTGATCTTTCCGCAGCCTCGCAAGACGAAGTCGTTCTTGCTCTAAGCGCTTTTGACGCTCTTCCTCGGCCTGTCTGATGCGCCTAAGCTCCATCTCCTTTCTTTTGCGTTCTTCCTCCTCAGCCTTTTCACGGGCCAGTCGCGCAGCTGTTTCTGCAGCCTCCCTGGCTTCCTCTGCTTCTCGGGCCTCTTTGGCGGCTTGGGCTTCTCGAAGTTCCTTCTCCTGTCTATCACGCTCAGCCTGGGCAGCAACACGTCTCTCTTCCGCTTCCCGTGCTTCCTTGGCTAGCTCAGCTTCCCTAGCCTCCCTTTTCTATAGCCTCCCTTTCCCTAGCCTCCCTTTCCCTAGCCTCCCTTTCCCTAGCCTCCCTTTTCCCTAGCCTCCC